GTGGGAAGACGAAAAAGATCCATGGTTAGGGCTGTTTCTGAGGCTCCAGTCTGTAGACAGAGAAGTCCGAGGAGAAACAAACGAGTGCTGGGCTTCTTTCTCCTCCTCTCCCTCACCTCTGCATGCCAGTGCCTCAATATCCCTCCTATTGATCTTGAAGTGCCTTGCTTTTGAACTGTGAACCCATCTGCAATCATGGAAACCAAGGACATAATAACTTGTATGGCAACATTTCTAGCTTTTACTTTTTAAAAAGCTGCAACTCTTAAGCCCATAAGCCACAACACTGATGAGTTATGGTGGATCATCACCTGTGTGACAAGTGCATAGAGGGGAAGTGTGATGTAGCTGCAGATAACCTGGACGATCACCCTGTCAAAAAGAAGAAATTTGTAATTGAATACCTTAAAATAACGAAAAGGAAAATTGAAAATGCAGGTGAGTGGAGGTGGAAGAAGATGGGTTCTTACGCTAGAACCACTCTTGTCACAATGATGACAGTGTGCTCATGGTAGCATGAACCCAGTCCAAACTGTATCTGTAGAAAATTAAAATTATTATTAATTTGATAATTAATAAAATTTTAAAGTTTTAATTCAAAAAAGGATTATATTAAAGAACTTACTGTGACCCAAATGAAGAATGCCAGCTCGAATGCATTCTGGAATTTTCCAAAAGAAAAAAAAAGGGATTTTAGAAAAGCATTATTGGAAGATCAAGCCAACAAGAAATAGAGATGTAGCGGAAGTTATTTTTCTCACACAAAAAGGATCAAATGTAGAATCTTCAGAACGAATCTGGGCTGTCCAAACCAGAAGAGGTCGTCGTGGGTTGAAACCAGGGGTTCCCACTATCACGCTGTTCTGATTATTTACTTGAATTGCCATTCTTGCCACGACCACCTCAAGTTTTGTTCCAAGTACCAACACCAGCTGCATTGACAATGGAGTTACTCATTAGGGTTTCTTTAGGTTTAATTTTTTTGTAATTATAATTAATAAACTTACTTTTTATAGTATTTAATTTGTGTAATAAAAACTAGTTTTTTATTTTTAAATTAATATATAAAACCAAATTTAAATTTTGAGCCGCATATATATTAAAAATATTAATACTTCAAATTGTATTATTTTTTATATAACCCAAAATCCAAAATTACACTAGGCTTACCAGGAGAGGGACATAAGACACCCAGAGATACACGTGCCAACTGGTTAAACAATATGCAGAAATTGAATTAATATTAACATCAGAAATTAGCCAAGATTAGGAAGATTATTAAAATAACTCCCTAAAACCTACTCACGTGAACATCCACCAGCATGAAGATGGACAACTATCAGCCACATAAGGGGGCTGCATGTATAAAGACAGCAGCTATGATTAGTTAGAGAGACAGAGGTCGGTTAGATTTACAGCATTCTGGTGATGAAAACCTCCTCTCCTCCTCCTCCTTCTCCTCTACTACTACTAATTATAATAATAAAAATAAAAGAAAACTAATTTTACAGTGGAAATGAATTCTTCCACACTTTTTAATTTCTATTTCCACTCTTTCTTCTCTAATTTTCTTTGGTGGGAGAAAGAAATATTACATTCTCCTATATTTGATATTAATTACTCCTCTAAGTAGATCAGCGAGTGAGTCTAAATTTTGGTGTGCAAGTAGTTTTATTATTTATTAAATCAATCCAAATAAATCATACATGCAAACGAATATTTCAAGATTAAACAGTAATGAGCAACCTGACGCCGACCACCTCTTTAAAATCTTCCTCCAGGGTCCTCTGAATGTACTTTGAAATTGAAGTGGCTATGCCTCGATGATAAATGAGCCTGTAAAAGTTCACACAGTCAATCAAATTAAACACTCACTTCCCATTTTTAACCTTTCCGTAAAAACAACTTGATAGAAAAAATAATTACCGTGATAAAACCGTGCCTCAAGTAAGGTAATCGACTTTGGCAACCGACTTAAAGAATTGCCTGAAAAAAACATTTCTGTTTCCAGTTCTGGGTCAGTGCCAGAACCAATGCAATCATCGAACGGGTTAATTAAAAAGAAAAGAAGATTAATTAAGAGTTCATATAGCAGAGGGATAAAAAGAGAGACAACTGTAACCGAAAAAACTCACAATCCAGAGGAGAACTGTTGTTTCTGTACATTGTGTCATGTGCCGCCGGCCAAACGTTGTTTGTCTCGCAAATCTAAACCGGTTTGGGTCTGGAAAAGAGGTCATGTATCAGAAATTGAAAAGTACAAAACAGAAAAAAAAAAGAAAACAATTTTCAACACGGTAAAATAAGAATGTTGTGGAGTGAACGTTTCTTGTTGCATGGGTTTGTTCCGTGCAGTGTGCAATGAATAAACAAATGATGGCAGGAAGTTCCACTTTCAGCCCACCAATTTTTACCGTTGGGGACCGTTGAACGTTCATAATTTGACCTTAATTATATATTTACTTTGGATTGGCGACTTCGGCCCGCAGAGACAAGTCTTTAATTCTTTTTCTTTTTTTCGTTTTGAACAGGTAGATGAATTAAATTCTTTTTTAATTTTAATCAATTGACCGTAAACGGTTTGTTTCAAAGGGTAAAATATTTTTTTATTGATTTTTAAAATCATATATAAATATGATTATATATACAAAAACCTGCCCCAGTAAAAAAAGGAAATCTAATCAGATTAAATTTTTTATTTCATATTAAAAGAAATTACCTTAATCCCCTGAAGATTTAAATATTACCAATAAAGTGACAACTGATCTAAGAAGATTTTGACTCTTTTATTTGATTTTTTGGTGTATTAAAGATATTTGACTCCTACACGTATATAAAACAATCTAGAAGATTTGAGGATCATTAATTTTCAACGATCGTAATTGTCATAACCTTGCGTGTCAAAAGAAATTACCCAAAGTACAAACGTACCACAAATTACAGCTTCCCAACTTGAAGGGTCGCATTCAATTATTTCCTCTAATATATATAGCCCTCCAATCTGAGACTCGAGAGCTTTGTTGTTTTGTTTGCATCTGCAATGGTGGACTCTAAGAAACGGGAACGGGGAAGGTGAAGATAGATTTGGATCTGGATTTAGCGACCCTTTTTTATTATAGTGGGGATTTCTCTCATAAGACTTGCTGCCATGGCCTTAACAAGTAAGAGGATGTTGGGTAGGCTAATTTAGAGGCAAATAAGAATACTTATTCATTCTTATCTCAAGTTTGATAAACTAGGTAAAAGTTTCAGATAAGACGCGCAGTGGTTGACAGTGACAAAAGATAAGTTATAAATAATGAGATAATAAGAATAATATTATTTAAAAATGTTAGATAAAAATTAAATAAATTTTTTTAAAATAATTTATTTATCCAGATATTTGTAAGTAAATATTTTTTATTTATTTGACTTACCGACAAGTTTTAAGAAAATTTTTTCGTTTTAGAAATTTAAATTAAAATTATTAAATTAAATAAATAAGAATATTTGCAAATCTGTTTCTCGTGAATTTGGTAAAGTCAAGCGTGGACGCAGAGTACAAGCAGCCGGACAATGTTGACAGATGAGAGTATGTATAGACATACCATTTGCGACTAGATACTCGGTTGTTTGAGTTTCTTCCTCCCAAGCCTTCCAACGCCTCATCTGTTTCGAAACATTAAAATATAATGAAGTTTTCCAGAATTTAAAAAACAAAAAAAACAATAAATATTATCTGTGAACATTATTATGATTAAAATTTATTACCTTCGCCTGCCCAAAGCCATGGTGATGACGCTGTAAACAATTTGCATAACCGCCAGCACAAAAATGAAGATGTGAAGCTGATGATGAATCCCTTCCGCGACACCAATGGAGCATTCCCTGCAAAATTCACCTTCGGTTCATCTCTTTCTCTCTCTACCTACACATGTATATACACACGAGGGAGAAGAAATAAACGTACTTTCGCAGTGCAAGAGTCCGCGGCTTCTTCATCCTCCGCCAGTCGCCTCGGTGGCGCCATCAATCGGACACTAAAGTTCCCGCTGAAGAGGCCGACGGAGAAGTGCTCCGATTCCTCGGCGGTGTCCGAGGGTGGGGCGCCGCCTGCTTGCAGGGAAGCATGATGTCTGCGACCGTTGGGGGGATGCATATGTTGGAGATCCGGTCCTGGGTCACGGCTAGTTTGAGCGACATGAAACCCAGCAATATAAGCTCTGCGACCAAAGGGAAATAAATAAATAAGAAGATCGATTGAACTGAAAAACTTCCGAGGATTAACTAAGGAATGGAGATTTATCAGTGTTTGTCGAGCACCGGATTTGAGCCTGTCCACGGCGTCGAACAGGGCGGTCTTCCTGTGCCTCTTGAGCCACTGCAACCAATTCATCAAGGACGTCATTGCATAAAGCAGATGTTCGCTTTGTAATTATCAAATTTCAATTTTTGTATGAAATAATGAAAGTTTAAAAGTTTTGACTGTGAAAGCAAACTAACATTGGCGAGGAGGTGGATGGAGTGCTCTATGAGGATGGATACGGAGATGATGCAGAAGCAGACGGCGGCAAAGGCCCAGGTCGGAGTTTCTTCGAGGGACCTTCCTGATGACTGGCGGCGGCCATGATTTTCCGGCAGTGGCTTTCTCTCCGTCTCTGTAGAAGACAGGAGCAAATAGGAGAGATAAGGACTGCAAAAGCTGGGCAAAGACTTTCGCGACCTTTGAGTACTTGTATAAACAACGCACGAGGTAGGACACATATAATATACATATATGAGAGTGTTTGGACGGGGGATAGGATATAAGATCATAAGAATATAATTGAATAAATTTATAAGAAAGATAAATTTTATCACATGTTTGGTTCAACAAATAGTAAATGGATAAAAATTTTTAAAATGTAGGATAAAAGTGAGAATTTACCAAAATGCCCTTTTTATGAGTTTAAAAAAAAAAAACATATCCGGGTTTGAAAAAAAAACAAACCAGATTGATTTATTAAAAAAAAAAAAACAATCCTGCTTTTGGATTGCTTCCGATTGGATCGGATGATGGAGGGAGATGGGTCTGTTGTCTAGGCTCTGCGTCTGGGCTCTGCAATCGTCGACGGTGGCGGGGTATCATTGTCTTTTCAGCAGGTCGGATCGCAGGCATCCTAATCAGTTTTAAAAAAAAAAAAAAACAAACAAACAAACGCTGATGCAGAAGTTCGATCGATTTAAAAAAAAAAAAAAAACAAACCATAGATGGGTCGTCGTCCTCCCTCTGCATTGTCAGCGGTGACGACTTCGCCTTCTGCGTCTGGATTCTTCGTCTTCGTCTTCGTCTTCGTCTTCTTTGTCTTCGTCGTCGGCCACGAGTGGAGCCCGTCGTCCTCATCACTATCGGCAACAAGTGGAGCCTGGCGTCCTTCTATGTCTCGCCGTCCTCCCTCGGCCACAAGGGTATTACTGTCAAAGTGAAGCTTTCTCAGGGGGGATAAATTTTTATACCCTTAGAAAGCATGATACGTACACAGACACGTATCTGTATCTCATTTTGTTACACGCCATCTGAACATGTGTAACAGTTTGATAAATTTATTTTCTCACACGTAATCTGTCAAATCAAATGCCACATTAAATATGTATGCATGTACGAATATGTTCACACCAAAAAAGGCCATGAAAAAAGGTCTTCCACGAGATGGGTTTCAGATTTTCCCAACGTGAAACTTTCTGGAAAAGAAAGCTTATATGACTTGTAAAATAATAAATAACGTAAAATACTATTCACAAATTAAATAATTTAAACATGTATATTATTCTAATAGATAAATATTTTTCTTAATATTTTTATTTTATGGAGGAACTTTATTTTAATAGAAAATCCAAATTTATTGGTGGCAGACTGGAAAGTTTGATTAGTAATACAGAATTGTTTATCCAAAATTGGAAAAAACGGGGGTGGAGGCCTGTTCTGTAATTCATTAAAACCAATTATCAAACGTTTGGGGGACGTGGGGTTGGTTCTCTCGAAACGCAACGGATTTTTATTTTAATATTTTTGATAAGTCGCTTGCCAAAATTTATTTTCTTTCATGTTTGACTATTTTTGGATGGAAGGAAAATGAAGGAAAGTGAAAGGGAAAGAGAGAGAACACAAGAAGGGAACGCTGCATGCAGCCGAGAGGTTTCATTTCCACAAAAAAAAATGCCAGTCTATTATGTTTGAAATTTGGGTTTAATTTTTTTTAAAAAAATATCTTTTATTTATTTTTAGAATTATTTTTTCAAATTTTGCAACTGACATGTCCATCGGAAAATTTAATTTTTTACAATAATTATTTTTTTCAATTTTTTGATGGACAACATTTGTTAAAAATTATATTTATTTTCATAAAACAAATTTATTTTTTATTTTTTGTTGAAAATGTCTTATACCTTCCATCAAAAATTATATTTATTTTTATAAGAAATTTTTATTTTCAAGGAACGTCATCTGTCAAAAAATATTTTATGCCTGTTGAAATGTTATTTTCATTTTTCTCAAGACATTCATGGGAAAGTCGATTAGAATTTCAATAGAAAATGGTCTGTTGGAAGGATTTTTAATGAATATTCTGTTAAAAAATCTATTAAAATTTTGATAAAATTATGCCTATTAAAACTTTCCATCAGAAATTTCACTTTTTCTAATAGTATAATTTTAACAAAATCTTGGTCCTATTAATTTATTTATTTTGTAAAATTAAGAGTATTTCTAAATCAGTTTTAATTTGAAACTAATTCATTTTGATCCGGAAGTAGGAAAGATAAAAAATTTTTCTAACACTTTTTTTGTGGTCTTGTTAATTTATTGTTTAGTGTTATTCTGTAAGTAAAATTTAGCGAAATTTTTTTTTTCTTTCCAAATTTATTTAAATAATACTCAGTCATATTTTTATTATGACAAAAATATTTTTCCTTTTTAACTATGGCTTTATTAAAAAAGAGATAAGTGTAACTCCATCTCACCTACTTGGATTCTTATCTGATTAAAAATTAAAATATTATTTATTTTAATTTAAAAAATAAAAATTTTTAAAAATAAAAATCTAAGCTTTTGATAAAATAATTATACTATTTTTAAATTTTATTTTATGATATTTTAATTTTATTTAATTTTTAAAATATAAATGACACTCAACTTCTTTTTTAACTTAAATAGTACTGAGCCTTTCTTATTTTAATATTTAAAAATAAAAATATAATAAATAAATTTTATTTAATGATTAAAAATAATTATCAAATTTTATATTTTTCTAAAAAAATTAAACATAAGTAATTTAAAAAATAAAAATATTAAACAATATTTTAATTTTTAATTTGATCGACAACTAAAATATACAAAATTAAATTACTTTCATTTTTTAATAAAAATTATTAATTAATTATTAATTAACGTTAATTGTTAAAAAAAAAATATTTTTTGATAATAAATTTTTATAATAATAATAGAATTAAATATTATTTAAATAAAGTCAAAAAAAGAGAATTTTTTTTTCCAACATTTAAGAGCCGTACATTTGTAGGTACACCGTGCGGCTCAAGTAGAAAAACACGGTTTTCATTCACACACTTTTGAAATTTTTAACGGACTTGGCGGGCATGAACGTTTGACCCGAAAGTCAAGGGGCAGGAAACCACTGACCACGGTTCAACATTTCAAACCAAGTTGGTCCATCGTATGGTGTGGACCACCTGGTTCGTCTTCCCATCGTATTTATATTTCTATGTACGAGTATTAATACGTTTAGTTAATCATATTATTTCAACTCGCTTTAAAATATCTAAGTTGGGTTTGGTTCCATATGGCGTGCTTTATATCTATCTCAGCATAATAAATATATATATTTTATTATTAACGTGATGGTATGACTTATTCTACGTGAGTCACATGGCCGGCTTTAATAGAAAACAAATAAAATGCTTATTTTTACGCCCAAAATTTTAAATTTAAATTTTACAATATTTTAATATTATAATAATAATTTAAATAACAATAACAAATATTAAAAACTCGTAAAAATCAAAGCTCATAATTTTTATGTAAGCCATATTAGTTAGTTAATTATAATCTAATCATCTTTCCATAACTCTTAATTTTTCTCTCTTATTTATGTCACAATTAGAATTTTCTATTCTCAAAATAATAAATTTTTAATTTTAACATCTTTTTATCTTTTCGGAAAAATATCATTATTGGTCCTTTAAATTTAAATTAGTGTCACACTAATTTCTCAAGTTGAAAACACAAGATCTCCATCTCTCAGGTTTAATATATATTTTAGTATAATCTTTTTGATTAATTTTTAATATTTATTAATCATTTTCAAGCATAAATTTATTATTAAAAAATAAATAACAAAGTTTATGTTACGACCTGACCAACGCCCATGACTAGCATTAGAGTCCACCGACCCTAATAAGTCTCAACACACTAGTCAAAACCAAAAAATACATATCATACACCAACACATAACAATACAACATCTCAAACCACAATAGGATATACATGAGAATATAAAGAAGTTACTCTAAAATACAATAGGAAAGAGATACAAAACGAGCGCCCCTACATCAATCAAATCCTCAACAGTTCACTTCAAAAATTGGCACGCTACTCAAAATGACAACAATCAAATCTGGAAAGTTTATAAAATGTGAGTTGCGAAACTCAGTAAGTACAGATGATACCTAGGCTATATGCATGTTGAGATATGTATCACGCCACAAATTCGAAACCATAGATATATATAATATATTCAGTGAGTAGTTTAATATCAAAACAAGTACGTGAGGTATCAACATAACCAATTATCACATCACAACAGTGCCACATCATAATCCGTTTTGCCTCTGCTGCCTCACATGGGATTCAAGCCAACTCACCACTAGACGCTACAAATCACCATACTCTAACCGAGCTCCTTCCATCCCAAATTACATCATATAGGAACTCAGGGCGACTCACCATTGGACGCTACGGATCATCGTACTCCCGTTGAGCTCCTTCCATCCTTAAATCACATCACACGATATCATCCTAACATATGAGTTAAACAGTTATATATGCGTATACAGTTCACATCTTGAAAACTAATATCACGTACCAACATAAATTCACTCACAGTTCACACAATACATAACACACATCCCAAGTATAATATATAACTAAAATATAGTTTACAAAACCACATAATCATCATGCCAGAAAACACAGTATGAAAAACACATGCATAAGAAAGGTATCATCACTCATAGTACAAAAGCTAAACAAAAAAGGTGAACCAGCCTCCTAAACCCTTAAACCATAGTGAACCGGCCTCCAAAACTAACCTAAACTTGTCTAAACTACCTCAAACTCAATTAGATCGGCCATGAAACTCCTCAAAATCAGATTTAGAAGGCCTAAAAACTCTAAGAAGTAGTATGAACTGGTTAAGAACTCCCAAAATAAAGCTAAATTGAGTAAAAATCCTAATTAATAGGCTTATTACTCTGAATTGGGCCTGGTTCACCTTAAACCGGCTACCAAAAAATCACCAAATACATAGTTAGCTAGGTTTTGTCATGTTGAACAGGAACTGGTTCAACTCCCCTAAGAACCGACCTAAAAACCTATGAATTAGTCCCTTAAATGGGTGCTACATTGAATCGGTCAATTCATCTTGAATCGGCCATCCAAAATTTTTCAACCCACTTGGTCTGATAGCCCTCATTCCCCTGGACCAAGAACCGGTCCAATCACTAAGAGAACCTGTCTAAAAAACCCTGAACCGACTGGTCAAAACTTTGGTCAACACTGACCAGTTCACACTGCCTAAAAACCCTAATCCTATTATTAAATTAATAAATTCTAGATTATCCAATTCCTGCTATCCCCCTTAACCACTATCCCTAAATAACCCACTCCTGGGATAGCATATCCCTGTTTCCAACCAAGTCAACCCATTGGTTGACTCAGACATTTGATCACTAGGCTAAGTTGACTCGAACCTAGACTTTTCTCCCAGTAAGCCCGCGGCCCAAACTCGTAGGCCTATGACCCAGCTGGGCCAAACCTGGCCCAACCAGATTAAACCGAGCCTAAATTGGCCCAGCCAGTTTACCTAGGACCCAGACCCTTCGGGTCTTGTCTTCCTCACCCGAAATCATAACCCGACACAGCCATCCAGGTCTATAACTACCCAAATCAAAATCTTCAACAAGAAAGCAAGATTAATCACGTACCTGGACCAAATGACCACCCGAAACTAAAGATTCTCACCAGGCAAACCTCCCAAAGTAGTTAATCGAAAGAAAAAAGCCGTCCCAAAAGCCCTAAAAAAGCCAGTCGGCCCTCTATGCACTCCATCGGCCGAAAGTTTCAAAATCCTCCATTCTTTCACTCAGAAACCAAAAATTAGTTGAGAATGGGCAAAAACAAGCTTAAAGGCTCAAGCTACGCGATCTAACAACTCTCAATCATCACGGTATGGGAGCTACAGTGCTCGAGTACCATTCTTGATAGAATTTTCTGTCTAATTGCA